GACACTGCCCCCCCCCACCCCCCGCGCCCTTCTGGGCAGCAGAAAGCCCGAAGGAAAAAGGCCTGAGGTGAAGATCGCGCCTCTTCCCCCAGAAACATCCAAAATGGTGACCCAGGCACCTGCCCGGCAGCAGCGTGAGGTTCCTCAGAAGAGCGCTCACCTTTGCTCGCTCTCGCCGCTGGAGCTCAGGAAGAGCTGAACTCTGTACTCCCGGTGCTCCCCGGGCGCTGATGCTCCCGTCCCTGTTTTCTCCTCCCTAGGAAGAGCTGCTCTCCCCTCGGCGGGATTTATGTGTGGATCAGAGCAAGATGGATCGCTATCGATACTTCGTCTTTAACCAGCGGAACATGGTGGTGCTGGGTCTGTTCCAGATAGCCTTCAGCACCGTCTGCGTCGTCAGCGGGTTCATAGATGGCGTTTTCAGAACGGAGTCTGAGCTGGGCAAAACCAGAGCTCCCATTTGGGCTGGGATGGTAAAGTTGCACTCTACTTTCTGTGCTTTGTTTTGTGTTGGTTTGTTTTTTTTTTTTCCCCCACTGCTACCCACTAGTACTCAACTTGGGGGTGGGAAGGAGGCCAGGACTTCTTGCCAGCTCTTTGCTGGTTTCCTGCTTTGAACCTAGGTAATAAGTTTCCTTATTGTGGTATAGGCAGGAGAGTGCAAGGAGACATTCCTCTGAAGGAGCTAAATAAAATACATTTCTACTGGTTAATGTAGAAAACAAGCCATAGTGGCAATTGACAGAGTTTTTGCAGAAGCATGATGACCACAACGAGGCCACTTCATCCTCACATTGGGTAGGTGAACATCTGAGTGATGATCTCCGTCCCATAGCACGGTGCTGCTAATTCTCTGTACTGCAAGGAGGAGCAGGCAGCAGGCATCCTCACTCCATGGTGTCACTGGTCATGCCCTGGTGAGCCATGCCACAAGGGAGCTGTACTGAAGTGCTCTCTTCCATCTGGAGGCTGCCCGTTTCCTGTCAGTAATATTTTTCTTCCACCTCCAAGAGGCATAAGGACTTGGGAAAGCAGTGCACTTTTTTAGCACTTTAATCACGCTTATTTGAACCGTTTTATTATTTGGTCAGAGCTGTAAAGCCAGTCGGAGAGTTGCTCCTGTGGGGGTAGCGTGTGGGCAAGATGAATTTCATGCAGTGTCCTGCCCCCGGGAGATGCTGCGGAGATAAACAGAAGAAATCAGCAATTCTCTTTCCATTTCTGAGCCAGCAGTCCAAGCCTTGAAAACGAGGGCTTTTATTCTGCTCTGCAGTAGTTTATCTTCTGAATCTGATACTTGTCTCCCAGTTACCAACTCCTTTTGTGTTCTGCAGGTGATGGGAGTCCCAGGAATCCTGGCTCTGTTTTCCTCTCAGAGGAAGAATCCAGTTCTTGTAAGCCTGGAGGGCGGGGAGGGGGAATTGTGTGTGTATATAGGGTGGGGCCAAAATCTTGTTGGGGCAACTGAAAACAGTTTTGTTAGGAAATGAGCTGGCTGGCCCTTCTGCAGGACTGAGAGATTATTTCCTTGAGTTATCTTCATAAAAGCTGCTACATTCCCAAGCAAAAGGAGGATGCAACATTACCTCACTTTCTGCTGCAGCAGACAAACACTGGCTCTAATAACAAGCAAAAATCTGTAAAAATGCTTGCTTTTGAATCCATTTCTTTTGGTGTTCCTTCCTGTTATGAAGAATTGTGTACACTAAAATAGGAAACAATTTAATTGGCTTGCATTTCCTAGGCAGGTTTCTCCAGCCATGTAAACTTCATGGGGGGATACTGTTTATAAGAAAGAGATCTCTAAGAACCAAGTCTTTGGGCCCAGGTAGCACCCGTGGTTAAGATTTGGGACTCAGTTGTAACTCAGAAATTCAGTATCATGGAAACCTTTACTGCATTGTGTTTGGCTTCTGAGTGACTGTTGCTACCAGGTACTTTTTAGTGTTACATGAGATCAAGGGCTAGCACCTACAATGCTTGTAAGTACATGTTGTCTATATTAGTGGCATTGATTTGACAGAGGATAGTTTTAATTCCTGTTCCCCTTCTTTTTCTCCTTTACTTTTTCTGTCTAGGTGCATGTGTTGATAGTTGCTTCCATACTCTCTTGTGTTGCCATCCTCGTCGTAATAGTTTATAGCTCCCTCACACTGAACTATGGTGAAGAGGAGGAGCTGAGTTCTGCCCCAGTCCACGTTATCCATACAGTAAGTATCAGCATCATGCCTATTACTGGAGAACATGACTGTTTTAATCTGCAAGCATCATTAGGCATGACTTGGAAACCAAACCAGACTTCCAGGGTGCCTAAATTAGAGTTCAAAGTGGTGCCTGCAGCAGGGCACTAGTTTAAAAAGATTTGTATTAAGTCTACAGTTAAGTATCAAGTTAGGTACTGAAAACCACAAAACCACACAGGGATAGATAGACTCTTTATAACTGCTTGCTGCTGCAGCATGGCTGGTATCAGTGGCTATGTGAATGGACACCTGGCTTGCCTGGATGCCCATCTGAGAAGCAGCTGCTTGGGAGCAACAGCTTGTCCCCAGAGGTGTACGCACCTGAACTCACCATGGTCGGGTTCACTGCTGCTGTGCAAAAGTGTTTGGGTTGTGCCAGGAAAAAATCGTGGTGCTGCTTGTGAAAAGGGGTAGGGGCTGGCCAGGTTTGAGATGGCAGTTCCTAGGCTCAATTCCCTTCCAGCATGCACCTCAGGTGACGAAGTTACAGCAGTTAGAGGTCAGCTGTTTAAAACCGGGTGTTACTCAAGTGTATCCTCCACAGTAAAGCTGAAAAGAAGGAATGAGTTAGCCTTTTTGTACCTCAGACCTGGTACAAGCAATGGCTCCCGGTGGGGATGAAGACTTTCCAGGTAGGTGAAGCTGTTTGTTAGTTTATTGCAGGATAAATCAAAATGTCAGACTGCTAAGGTGCAGTACAGCGAGAAGGCATTTCTTATGCTCAGTGCAAAGAGAAGCAGCCGTTCCTTGGGTTTGTACTCATCGTTAAAGTTATTTCCAAACCTGATGCTGTTGCATAGTGTCTTATATTTAATCAGAAGCCTTCTCTTACTGCTTGCTCTTTTCATATTTGAAGTTCACACTTGGCTTGCTTTTCAGAGCACAGGAAGAAAAGCCTTAAATAACACTGCTTCTGTAACAGTCGCCTACGATGCCATCGCAGCATTCTTGCAGTCATTACAATATTTTTTGGTGGAGAACTTAACTTTTTCAATGTGGACTTTTTCAATGTGGCTTTAACGTTTCCTTTTCTGCTTGCAGAAGTTCATACTTAATAAAGTAGTCAAGGGTGCTAACATAGCCATGCTAGCTGCCTCTATCTGCAGTGCTTTCGTTGTGCTGGTGATGGCTTACTTGGGATGCCGGAGCCTTCCACGCTGCTCGTGCTACGACAGTGTAACTGGGATGGTGAGTGAGGAGCCCCAGGCCACCGTTTATCTGTACTGAGTGTGGGTGGGAGGGGAAGAAACTGGAGAGAAGATGTGTTTTTCTTCAATAAACCTCGCTTTAGCTCTACCTCAGTCATCCAGGGCTAATTCTAAGAAATTAAGTTAGAAGGGTTTTATACTTCTTGTATTTTTCTTTTTACTACCTCCCTCTTATTTACCGTCTTGTGTAAGACCTAGCATAAGTTATCTCCATTTTCCAAACGGTTAGTGCTGGTGCTACTGTGGTCCAATTTCCTATGAATTCTTGCTCTCAAAAACTGTTCCTTCTTCTCCCACCCTTAAACCAACGAATGCTCCTGGTACGGCATTTCAAAAACTTACTGATAGCTACACACCAAGATGCCTTTTCCCTAGAACTACAAATTCAATAGCAAAAATATCCCCTGTACCATGTGTGAAATGTAGGGGAGATGACACACCACATTTTATTGCTAATTTATGAGGACTCTACCTCAAGTGATGGGGCACATGCCGCGTGTCTCTGCTAAGTGAGCTCAACAAATACCAGCTACTAGAGTAATTCTCATGATGTATTAAACATGTACCTCCAACCGTCTAATCTGGTAAGGAATTAATGGTTACAAGGTAAGGAATAAAGGTTACCAGGCAGCTGTTCTTGACTAGCAATACTGAATGAGTAATCTGAGGCCGCTTTAAACTTTCAAACTAAAACTTGTTAGGAGGAGTGGACAACAGAGACTTTTAAAATGAGTTCAGGTATATCTTCTTGAACAAACTCCCAGATGAAGTTTTTCATGGCATTGTTTCTTTCTCAGGAATGGTTGCAGCCTAGCGAGGACCAAAGTCAGGCTGTGGAAATGGTTTGCGCTGTACAAAGTGAGTAACTCTTTCCCTCCATGTGTTTGGATATTCACCAGGAACGTGGCAGGAACATCCTGAATAAGCTTTACATTCCAGGCCAAAACCCTGACAACCAAAATACTCTGAGGCAAAAGGAACTCAGGATTTTGTGCAAGTGTCTACACCAGGTTTCATGGTTTCCTCTTTCCTTCCCCACACAGGCCCTGGGGGTAGAATTTTTAACTTCCCAGATCGGTTTCCAGCCCGGGACGTAGATGCAGAGGAAGACGCATCCAAACCTCCACCATATATCAGAATGACTTGAAAAAGTGGTCAAATGTTTTAAAGCTACTAGTCTAAAAATGTGGCAAGACAGATGTAAGATGTTCTTTGTCTTTAAAGATGGTTACGCACTTTTCCTTGCCCTTTTGAAAAACACAGAAAGAGAGGACTGTTGAATGCCTGACGTTCAGCAAAGATCACAGTTCAGAGGGGAAGATCTGAAGATGGTTTTGGACATTCAGACTTTGTATAGTTAAAATACCTCATTGCCTCTGGAAAGCGTGGGCATTTTTTCCTCCAGCTTTTGTTCTTAAATTGTGTTTTATTCCACTAGAATTCATTGTGCAATTTGTCTAGCAGTGCTGGCCTGAGGCATTCAAATATTAAATACAATTAATTTTTAAAAGACACTGGTTGTGGAGTAATTCCCCCCTCCAACTGCTATCTCAATTTCTCTCCCTTACCCATTGAATTATTTGGATGATACAATAGGGGGTGAAGGATAATGGAGGACCCACTTCATTACTGAGCTCAGGGTGCTTTTCCTTTTCTTCTTGGCAGGGATGGGTGTAGGTGAAGTTTATGATACAAAGCGTTGCCAATGCCTTTCAGGTACCTCTGTCAAAATGTGGATTCTGTGGGGTGTGCATGTGTTGGTACGATTAGTTTTAGTGCTGAAGTGCAATGCTAGAGAGTGGTAGGAACTGGAGTTGCAGGAGCTCCTCTTATAGAGTAACTTAGAGTCTCTGTATTCAGTTCAGCTTTTTCTTTTTTGAGGGTTTTTTTAAAAATTGCTTATTTTGGAGCCTATTCTGCTAAAATTTATTACAGATCTAGACCAAGGTCCTCTGTTGGAGGTTCTCTAGAGGTCCTCCTAGTCCTCTAGACAGGAACTGCAGCTTCCATCATCTCCCAAGGTGCATAAAATTCCCTTATGTACTTCATGATTCTCTTTCAGGTAGGCTTAGGGGTGCCTGTCAAGTGAATGTCTTGCCTGCAGGCCTTGAGCATGAAGTGGTAGATGACTTATCCTTCCATGTAAATTAACACAGCAGGTCCATTTGAACAGGGCTTAGAAAGTAAGTTCCCATCTTGAGAAAGTGCTATGAGTAGTAGGATAAGTCCTGCCCACCACAAGGCATGTAACTCCAGGAATGATCTCAGATAAGATTTACCTTATTGCAGCATAGAAGGTGCCTTTCCCATTCCCAAGAGAGAGGGAATTAAATTGTTACTGGTTGGGTTTTTTTATAGAGACTGAAGACTTTCTCATAACAGTAGTAAAGGGACTCTGACACCTAAATGAAGGCCTTGACCTCATGAAAGCACTGTACAGACAAAATTCCAGGCCGTCCTCTGAGTTGGTGCTTATCACACGTGCACTTAAAACACCCTTGGTTCAAAATAGCTTGCCACAGCTACGTCACCAAAAATTAGCATTACGATATGCAATTAATCCTGACATTTAGCAGGTCCTTGCAAGTTAGCAAATCCTGTCCCAACTTCCTAGTCTCATGGGGTTGGTGAGGTGCAGAGATGGATGGTTAGTTTCTATTAAATTATTTCAAAAATTCTAGGACTAAACATCTTCAGATTTTGAAGAGTTTGTATTTGAATGTGTTCTACAACTTTTGTTGTGATCTCGAACAGAAAAATGCCCTAAGCTTCATATTGAGGAAGTCCTAGTGAACTCTGGCACCTCTTTGTACATAAGGTACTTTCCAAGTGTCTCCATTACTGACTTTAACCATTAAGATTATTAATGTCTGGAATTACAAAGAAAGGTACTCGGATGAAGAGAGCAGCCCTAGCCACTGGCCTCCTCCTCCCACAGCCCTTTGCTAGTCACACATTGCTTCCTCTGCTGCTCGGCTTCTGTTGGGGGAACTGACCGCATCCCTCAGTGCTCAGGCCAACAGCTCAACTCAGGGCCACAGTAGCCACATTCTTTCTGGCCTTGGCTCGAAATACCTTCATGTGTTTGCCTATGCTGACCAAAACACAGTTGGTGTCATTGCAGATGTCCGTTGAAGGTACCAATGTTTGAATTAATACAGAAATTCAAACATTAATACAGAAATTCAAACATTAATACAGAAATTCAAACATTGTAATTCAAGAAGTGATGCTGTGCCTTGTTCTCTAGTGTAGTGCCTGTCAGCAAGCATCAAAGCACCGAGCGTGACTACTTTCCCCATCCTCAGATGTTTCTGGCATAACTCCAAACAGTCTGTGCTGAAATGTTGGGGTTTTTCTCCTTGATTAACATAAACTGCCATTCTTGTACGTTAGAAGAGTAAGACTCCCTGAGACGTTGTCGTGATTGCTAATAGCTAAAAGCAGTGCAGCCTTGATTCTCATTTGGTCTAAAACAGATTTTGAAAGGAGAAACTTGCTTTTAGTTTGTTGCTAAAATGCACTGCTCAGCCACTGCATCGTTCCTGGTTACGGAACGCTGTTACACTCCCATCCAGAAATGCTATTCTCTAACTAGTCATTACTGTGTGAGACGGCACATACTGAGTATAATTCAACAGCGTTTGGCTGCTGGTTGAGCAGAGCAATTAGCTTTTATGTCAAGCACGCAGAGAATGCCCATCACTAGTCCTTGTTCGGCTGCAGCACTGTTTCCATCGGCTCAGAAGGGTGACTCTGGAGATGAGGGTATGAAGGGTGCAGTGATGCAGGTCAGGGCTCCTGGCACAGAGCTGAGGCATGAGGCCAGGACCCAGCCAGTTCCTCCCGGACAGCTTTGGAAGCGGCTGATCGGTGGCATTTAGTGACAGGTGGACCTCTGCCAGTGTGGCAGATACTCCTTGGGCTGCAAAATGGCCTTAAGAGCAGGTAGTGAAGTACGAGTGTATAAAAGAGAAGTATGCTTTATGCCACCTTTAAATAAAAATGCATGTAATTAATTCAGCAGCAGCTGTAAAGCCCTTGCTGGCCGTATTTCTTTTTGCGGTCCTTCCAGTGGTGCAATCGCAGCATCGCTATCGCAATACCAGCACCGAAGATCCCTTACAGACACACAGTTTCAACAGTTCTCTAAAAAAAGGGGAGTTTCTAGAAAAGAAACAGCTGCAATATGGAAATTGGTGGAAACTGAGTACCAATATAATGTCACTCCCTCTAATTGGTTAGCATTGCAGAAAATATATTCTAAATTGCAGCTTCCAGTGCTATATTTAGTAGCCGGTTCCACATGCTAGTTACAGTGCCTTCCCAGAGCCTGCCCGTATCTCCAGGGACTTTTTGTGGTTTGCGTCACTCCCAGATTTCGCTGATGGAAGTCAGAGGGATATTTTTTTTATTACGCAAACACACACATCCATAGCACCTCTGATAGAAATGACCTCGTCGTTTGCTCCCCACAGACTTCTCATTGTTGGCAAGATTCCAGGAACTGAGCTGACTTCCCTGCTCCTTCCCAGCCCCGCAAGATTTCCCCTTTGGGGTGGGCAAAGGCCCGTGGCTGCCGGAGGGAGGCACAGTTACACAGGGTGAGGGGTAAGGGTAGCAGCAGGTACACCTCAGCACAGTGTCTGCAGAATAAAGCAAACAAAGCCCAGGGCGGGAAATAGAAATTCCGGGTTCCACCGGAGCTTGTTCTGCACTGAAACACCCTGCACACGTGCGAGCTGCACCTTAGTCACACACACCTTGTGCTTCACCACTAAGAAGTGGAAATAACTTGGCATTTTGAAGAGGAATGATAGACGCAAACGTGCCTCAGATCTCCTTAAGGTCAAACATCCATCTCTTTTCTCGGGTGTGTTAGAAACCACCCAGCTAACGTGAGCAGCCTGCAGGCAGGACACCAGCACCTCGCTTGTGACATGGATTATGGACCCCACGTAACAAAATTACACTGACACCAAGCCCTTCATGCCCACCTTGTGTTAGTGTTATTTATATTAAGTCAAAGACGAGGCATTTACGTCCGAAAATGTTTTGCTATTGTGAGTGTGCTCAGCCAAACATTACCCTATTTCCTGATGCGTAGAACAAGGTGCACCAAATCCCTAGGCTATAAAAGCAAAGGCTGCCAGCCTCTCCATTAGCAGTGGCCAGAGTTAATCACGGGGTGTAATCAGAAGGTTAATCAGGGAAGCTGCTTCTGTGAGTTAACGTTCAACTAAGGGCAAAGTATTTGTTGAAGCCAGTTCCCCTCCCCGAGAAAGGGCTAGAAGGTGCTGGGGGAGGAGGGGAGGTGGAGGGGTCTTCATCCCAGTGGGGCTCAAGAGAGCCATTTCAGGTATGTTTTTGACAACTAGCTTGTTTGGGTTTGTGGTGGGTTGGCTGTTTTTTTTATCGCTTCACTTCCAGTCTTGTAATCCAATATTTACATCAGGAACATCCTGCTTTTTTTTTTTCTCAGCCTTGTTGAGTAACACAAATGGTTTCAGACTGGTGTGGTGTACGCTGGACACTGCTACCAACACGGGGGTTTGGTGTCACTGCCCCTCACCCCTACAGCAGTTTGCAAGCTCCAGACGTATAGGGTTGGTGCAGTTCCTCCCCTGTGATGCTGGGCTGCTGTGCTCAGGGCCTGGGCAGTGGAAAGCAGTCAGCTTTGCTGGGCACAGATCTCTTTCCCCTTTGCTGGCAAAAAGTAGTGAGAAGCCAGGGGATAAAAATAACAGCTCTGCGTGCTCCGTAGCCCTGCCTATTCTCGCATGAAATACTTAAAAATCTAAGTCAAACTTTACTACAGGTAGATGAACTGGCCTAAAATATGTCCTGTGGGGAATGACTCAAGGAATGGTTCTTGCTCTTTACTACACAAGTGTCGTAGTCTATAGGAGAAGAATTATCTGGCTTGAAAAAGCAAGAGTTTCTCCCCGAAGCCTTTGCTGGGTCTCAGTGGCTCTGGTACAGCAGTTTCTTGCATCAGGCTCCCTGACTGGCTGCTTCCCTTTCATCCAGCAGCCTGTGGTACCTGCAAACATCCTGCTCACTGCTGCAGGAAAGCGGGGTGCAGAAGACAGCCTTAAAAGAGCCGGGAAAAGATGGGAGTAGTAGTAATCAATCAAAATACAGATATATTCTGAAAATAGAAAGCAGTATTTGCCTACAGCTGAAAGAAGGAAGGTTTTATTTTCTTTTTTTATATAGTCAGCAGAAAACCAACCTAATATAACCGGAGCACAGCATACATTTTTTGGAGTCAGTCTGTGTGATTTCTCCATCTTTACAAGCCCCTTCCAACTTGAGATATGATTCTGTGATTCTCCAGCACTAACAGTGTATAAGCATGGGGCAAAGTGCTTGGACTTGACTCTAACTTGAGGAGGCAAAGCTCATCAAAGGAAACAGCATTTCCCGGCCTTCCCTAGCAGCTTTTCTGTAAAAATAGCAAGTGCTTTGTCCTGCACTTTTTCAGGTCAGTCTAAGTG